AGCTTTTGAACCACATTCATGCCATTTTAGTGATCACTTCTTTCCTTTCATTGCAGGTGCTTTGGTTAAATCAATACATAACAGATCTTTCCTCCGTGTCCAAGATAAGACCCGCCGTTTGAAGATGCTCAAGCCACAGTGATAACTTCTTTTTTGACGTCAGCCTGGAAAGTTCCTTTCTGTTTAAAAAGTGAGCAGAGACCAGTAGGTTGTGTGAGGGGAATTTCAGGCTACAAGCTCCCCCAAAACAATGGGGGGACACATGGAAACTTTCCCAGCTGGTTACATAATATTATGGCTGTGGCCGATGAGGACAACTAACAGAGTGGCTGTTTGGTTGCTTAATAATGTGTAATGATTCGGGACTGCTGAGGCATTAACAATCCATTGGGCACAAAGGGGAGCAAAGCTCTTTATCACACAACAGCTCCACATAAGCTCCAGATTGAATATTTGATAGACCCAGTCCTGACGTCACTCTAACCAAGTGCTGACCCCCCCTCATACAGTTTAGAGCTGATATCTGGTGTCCTACTTTTCTCTGACACTTTCAGTGTTTTCTCTGCATACAGCCCAGAATACAGCCTGTGGTTTTGTACCGTATCAGGCTGAGTTTCGGGTTTCTACTAAAGACCTCATGTGGCTCACAGCTTGTTGTTGGGAGTGAGCAAAACAAATCTGTTTTCAGTTGTGCACTAGCACTTTGCTTGTGCAACCTTCATGCACACTGAACAGTTGATGTTGCATTTACATGTTCTGTTTGTTAGCATATGGTTTTATAATGATGTATTCATCATAACAATGTAGGTATGGACCTACAAATATGAGCTTTTAAAGGAGCACCTTTTACCTCCATACTTTAGATGTAGTGTAGGTGTGCAATAGGAGGATGACTTTTCACCTTTTGGCATTTTACTCAGGATGTGGTGCTTGCATCAAAACTACTGTGGTGCATTTGTTTTTTTATTATTACATCTGCCCTTTTTAGAATTAAGTAGGGAGAAGAAAGCTTTCAGCCAATTTTATGTTAGAATATTTATTTTAGTAGCTGTTCTGGCTGGATCTATTGTTAAAGAAACAATATGTGGCAGAGATGATTTATGGAGACAGATATTGATTAGACCAAGACATACATGTCAGCAATAAACATATCCAAAGATGAAAGATTTCTGTGAACTGCTGACTGAAAGAACAATGTTGCACCACATATGTATTTTCCCTTTAATTCAATGCTAAGGGGTTGAACAAAAGTGTTATTAAAGGAAAAGTCCGGTCAGCAAGGAATAACCAATGGGTCATTATTTATACCTTAAACTAATTCATTCACGGTTATTTAATGAATTTAGCGTTAATCAAAAAAAGATATATAAAAAATATTTTTCGTTGCGATCACTAAGTCCAGGAATAGCCATTTTTGCCCAAATATAGTGACACCTCACTCCTGCATCTTCCTGCTGTGACGTTGTGGTGCGGTAAGCCTAGTTCCATTCTCCCTGCTTTACTAGCAAAATCAATGGGAACTAATAGACACCCTTGCATCAACAAGAATTTTTCAAGATTTTGAGAGGACTTTCCCCATTGAAATTCGCGAGAGCTAGACTTAAACTGACAATGCCTACATGCATGGCAGTTGGATGTTGTTGATACATCAGGTAAAAGTGGAAAAAAAAATATTTCACCTTTCAAATTCATGATCCACCACTGGTTCGTTGTTGGATTGGTGACTTGAAGAGGGAGGATTTGCCTTAGAACTTCGGGTCAGAGAAAAAACACGTAATTCATCCGTTATTTTCTGCTTTGCATAGTGCACTGGTCATCGCCATCATGGATAATAGCATGTTGTAACAAACACCACATACTCTCACAGTGGGGTGTAGGTTTGACAGGACCCAAATGCAGACACTTAGCAGAAGTGGTTTCTTGAAGGTTTGATAACAAAAAGGGTAACAGAAGAAAAAATCCAAAAACATAAATCCAGAAAATCCCAAAATACTGAAAACCAGGAATACTCAGAAGGGGGCAAAGAAATGACGACACACCAGCAAAGAGTGACTGAACAGGAGGAGAATATATGGTAGAGAGAAACAAAGACCAGGCCAATTAGCAGATTGGGAGCAGGTGTGAACAGTGGCAAGAAGGGAGCTCGGGAAAAGGAGACTGACACAGGAGGGCAAACAGGAAATATCTAAGAACTCAAATACAATAAAAAAATAATAACTAGAACACAAAAATTTAAATAAGACCAATGAAAACTCAGAGATAAAACTTAAACAGAACCAAAACCATGATACAGCGCTGGGACTTGCTCAACAGCAGATACCGACCCGTGATGTCACAAACCGGAAGGTGGCAGTAGTGCTCTTTGAAAAACATGGGTGTCTCCGGTAAAGCACATGCAAATGAAATTAATCTTAAATAAAAACACTTATCGTTTATTGAAAAGTATTTATTAATTTCAAACTTAAAGTACTTTCAGCAATTTGTCTTCAGAATTTGACAGCACTTTTCCTAATTTAACCTTTTCTCAGATTGTCATAATAAAAAAAAACTGTTTATCTTAAGGATTTGATGTATTATAGAGCTCATTGTAGAAAACAAAGTCGCTTTTGTAAACTTTAGGAAAAAGAATCTTAGTTTTCAGTTAGTTTTCTATTTGTTTTCTCATAAACAAAGGAAAATATGAGTACTGTTGCATGAATTTACCTTTACTTTCATATCCAGTTCACCCAACAGTCTTTCAAAAGACACCTAATTAGTCACCAAACTCCACCAATGTTTTTCAAATCAAGCAGAGCATCAGAAATCTATTGAGCACTGATATATCTATTGAAATAAAACGTTTGAAAACCAAGGAACGGCTCAAAAGAAACCAGAGAACAGCCCACAGCTACTGTGCCAAGGGGCTTGACGACAGACAATAAAGGAGTTTCTGAGAAGGGAATAAAAAAAAACTGGCTTTATATGTGGACCAGATTAAACAGGGGGTTGAGGGGCAGCTGAATGAACTAAGATGAGGATAAAAGGGAGAGAGACTATTTAAAAGAAAATGGAAACATAGAACTGAAAAGAACCAAAAAGGATCCTACCAAATAAAAAAAATTAAGATAATACCAACATAAGACTAAACTTATACACAAAAGACTAAACCAAATTAAGGATTTAGAATAATATCTACATGGAAAACGATATACGGAAAAACCAAAACCCAAAATAATTCAAATACAAAACTTGAATACAAAGACCCCTGGTCGTGATGCATTTAATCTATCCCCAGTTTCTGGATCAACTGCTGACCCACAGAGACACTGTGATGGCGATGTAGGTGTGGCACTCACACTGCTAGGCAACAGGAACACACTCAACATAGGCGGACCTAATTTCTAGATGACTAAGAAAAAATTAACAGTAAAATAGAGTTCTAGAGTAAGTATTTTTAATTTCTGATGTCCGTGTTTAAATCAAACACAATCCTACATCATTGAAATTGCAACAAAAAATAAAACTCTTCTAAATTAGATTATAGATTTTATACAAAATCAGAATTATAACTTAAAAGAAGGATTTGCAAAGATTACCTTTTTTATTTAGAAGGCTACTGTAGGCACATTCTTGATTGCATAGTAATAAGGAGACACATGAAGCTCATATACATTTCATATCTGAATATTTCCCTGTGTGTCAAATGCATGCCAGCAATATAGGATTATAAAGCAGGTAATAATAGCTAATAAATTAAAAACATAGATAATGAAGTGAAATTCTACTTTTTACAGCATTTATTTTGGGCTGGTGGTATTGTAGCAATATGCTACAATTGTAACTGCTTCCTAGATTTAATCTCGTTTGCGTTTTAAACATGGGAGTAGGTTTGTATAGGGACCATACGGACATTTCCCTACCAAAAGTTTGGACCAACCTACTTGTCCCTACCAACAATTAGATGTAAATAACACGTTTATAATTTACAATACAGTTCTGTTGCAGCAGTAGAGGAGTTTTGGATGGAAAATATTAACAGCAAAAAACATCTTTTATCTAAAATGCAAAATGTTTCTATATATATATATATATATATATATTTTTTTTTTTACAATTTTGGTATAATTCCTGCTCTAAATCAGTCGCTTGTGAGCTAAAGACATGTTTTAGAGTCTCTATACTCCAGTTAACAGTAAATTGATTACTAATTTTTTTGACATTTCAATAATCGATTATTCGATGAATTGTTTCAGAGCAAGATAAAATACATAATATGGGTTAAATAGAGTAACTACAGCCTAGATGACTTCTAGAGTGAAATTAATATTCTAAATGCTCAGTGTCAGTTCCAGTGCTCATGTAAATGCAATAAATTTATTTTGCGTCCCTTGAATCTTTTATTTTGTTTCATGATACAGAGAGAATATTTAAAAGATAAGAGTGGGTTTACCTCTGCACAATTGTATATCTTCAAAAGAAAAAACAAGATAAAGCCACATATAACAGACATATTTAGACTATATTTTGTTAAATAGGCACAGATTTACTTTCTGAGAAAAGTCATAATTGCTCATTCATCAGATGCTTCAAACATTGATAAACAGCATTATAAAATTTGTACAAATGTAGAAATAACTCTTTAAACAATTTACACCCCGATTTTCACGTCAAGCATAAACAAACGAGCATGCATATTTTTGCATAGGACCATAACATCAGTCCAATAGTGTCCCTACCAAAGTTGAAATCAAACCTACGCCCTTGGTTTTAAACTTTTCTTAACTTCATGCAATCTTTATTTTTTTTTTTCTTTAATTTTACGTCATTTTTACCACGTCAAATATGTTTCCGTTTACATTTTGAGGAGATTTTCAAAGGCTTAAAAAAAAGGGGCGACACACATCGATTTGATTAAACTATGAACATCTGTCCCCTGCACACTTAGCAAAAATGAAAGTAGTGGTATTGGCTGTAGCCCTAAACGGAAGTGACGTACTATAATAGTTTTGCTTCCTGGAGACGGTTGCTACAACCGTCGCGGACTTGCCAGCTTTTAAACAAGTTGCTAACTAGCTCAATTGTAGCGCTAATTTAAAGCGACTTTCTGCGGATAAAGGTGCGCGTGGGTTTCTGAAGCATGGCTCTCCCATCCTACAACCACAGAGACCCAAACGGAATGTACACTTTCTCAAGTCGACCCAGACCCGTTGAGGTCCGCTCCAAATATAGACCTAGAGAACCATCGCAAGAACAGTACGTTTCTTTTCTAAATGGTCAACTTGAATAATATAACTAAGCGTATTGCTATTAGAACTGTGTAAGCTTTCAATTACATTTAGGCCTAACACTCAGTTTTACATTTTTATTGAGCAGGGGCGGAGCTAGATGGGGGGCCAGAGGTGGCCATAGCCGCCCTTACCCAATAATTGTTCACCCTTACCATTTTCCCCCCATCTAATACAGATGGTGGCAGCAGTAATGCTCTCAAGTGGAATATTAAAAACAGTTTTTTATATATTTTTGGTTAATTATACACATCAATATACTAACATCAAAGTTGATAAGTAGAGAATTCATGCTCTTTTCAGAGCTAGATTTTCTGTTATATGGGGTAAAGAGAAAAATATGCGTCTCTGCAAGTTATCTAGGAGTCTTAATTGAAATCAAAGATAACAATTTTAATAAAACTTATCAAATAATCAATTTATGTAGATATTAGTGCTTGTAAATATCAATTTTATGCAGAATGTTTATTGATACAGTAGGTAAGTAATGACAATGGAAAAGATTTATGCCCCATGTTAGGTTTATTATTTATACATCATGTGCATTGTTATTCTGTTAGCCAGATTAGACAGAGTAGAAGTCAAAACTGAGTTTTATCCACTGTACCTTATACCCACTCTACCGATGTTTAAATAAATGTGTCTATTTGTTAGCAAAGGCTGAAGGAAAGTTGGCTGCTCTGTGTCGCAGTGGGTAGCACTGCTGCCTTGCAGCAAGAAGGTTCTGGTTTTGATTCCCGGCCCGGGATCTTTCTGCATGGAGTTTGCATGTTCTCCCTGAGCATGTGTGGGTTCTCTCCGGGTACTCCGGTTTCCTCCCACAGTCCAAAAACATGAATGTTAGGTTAATTGATTTCTCTAGATTTTCCTTAGGTGTGTGCTTGAGTGGTTGTTTGTCTCTGTGTTGCCCTGCGATGTACTGGCGACCTGTCCAGAGTGTACCACGCCTTTTGCCCATTGACTGCTGGAGATAGGCACCAGCACCCCTCATGACCCCAAGCATGTCAGATAATGGATGGATGGGCTGTAGGAAAGTATAGTTAGTCTTTATTTAGAAAATATGGATGTTTTGCTTGTTAATTTTCCTGTTGGAGCAGCGTAGATTGACCGTGAGTTTCTGGTGCCTATCCACTTTTGGCCCCCTCTCAGTGTACATTGGTTATTGCCTGGATACCCCTATAAAAAATATTTCTGGCTTCGCCTCTGTTAATGAGTGCAGTGGTTCCAAACGGAGGGTTTGGGTCCTCACTCTGGGCCATAAAAAAATGAATTAAAGGATTGTGAAATGATCTTTGGGATATAAATACTAGAAATATATATATATATATATATATATATATATATATATATATATATATATATATATATATATATATATATATATTTAAACATTATCTACTCGTTATCTACTCAGCTCAAATAAAGTATTTTTTAGCCTATCGAGTTTTAGCAGATATATTTTTGTTTACATCATTTGTAGTGCTCCTCATTTAATTTTTTATCATTTCATTTGTAGTTTAAGACCTGGCACTTAACTTAATCCAACTTAAAAACCACAGTTAGATGTAACTAGCAAATGGAGAAAATGCTTTTCTTTTAACTACACTTCAGTCTGTAGTTTTTTATTTTTTTATACAATGAACAAAATGTGGTCTTTTGTTAAATACATTTTATTAACCTGAATGTGTTTTCTCTTTTAATAAATAATAAACTGGTAGTAATGTAATTTCACCTCCTGCTTACAACATAGGACCCAAAGGGAGTATGGGAATATTAAGTATGATCGACGGGTCGTCAGAGGAAATACCGTCAACCAGTCCCTCATTCCAAGAGTATGTATAAAACTTCAATGGTACCTTATTTTACTAGATTTTTCTCATTACTTTGTATCACCCATTGCCTGCAGACTGATCAATCAGATCCTGCTACAAATGAAAGACAGCAAGCTTTCAGGAGGAGAGCTATTGCTCGAAGACAGGAAAGGGATTACTTAAGAACCAAGACTCCTGAAGCTTTGCTGAGTAGACAACATGTTGATGTGCAGACAGGTAGGACTCTTCTTAAATAAATTCTTGTCTGAGAGTTTTGGAACCATGGAATTTAAGAACTACTTCCTCTCTTACTACTAGATCTTTACCTTGAAGAACTGAGCAATGTTATTTCAGCAACAGACATTGAATGTCAGACTGATAAGTTCATGGATAAACCGGCAACTCCACTTTTTATTCCTGCAAAAACCGGGGTAGATGCTGAAACACAGATAGAGGAAGGAGAAGTGAGTACTTCCAGCAGAAATAAGAGGTAATAAGAGGGTAAAACCAACTAATCATCATTTTAATCTAAATATCCTCTGTAGTTGTTTGACTTTGACCTGGAGGTGCAGCCTGTCTTGGAGGTCCTGGTGGGGAAGACGATTGAACAGTCTCTTCTGGAAGCGATGGAGGAGGAGGAGCTGGCCTGCCTGAGGAACCAGCAGAGGATCTTCCAAGAGCTCCGAAACAATGAGCTGGCAGAGATGCAGCGTCTGCAGGAGCAGGAGAGACGCCGCCAAGAGGAGAAAGTAGGAGAACGAGCAGCTTAGATTTTTAAACATTCAACAGTCTCGTCTTAATTTATATTTCATCTTTTTTATATCATTAAAGCAGAATGAAAAAAATAGATATCTTATGCAATCAGAGGTTGGAGTTTTGCAATAACGATATATTTAGCATGTGATCTGTGGGTTTAATTTGATGAGATTGTTGAGGTTGTCAAGGACACTTTCTAATCTGATTGACGCTTTTCTTAGAAAGCTATTTTTGTTTTTACTTTTCTCTTTTTTTTTATTTAGTTTTTACACTTGAAAACGTTTGGGTGAAACATTAGGCAAATTACATGCATATTAAACAAATTTTCTTTTGATTCCAGGAGCGTAGAATTGCCCAACAGAAGGAGGTGCTGAAGAAGGAGCAGGAGACTGTAGAGAAGATCGCTGCCCAAGCGTTTAGTCAGCAGTACTTGGCTGGGCTCCTCCCTTCAGTTTTCACCTCTCTGAGAAACCAGGGATATTTTTATGACCCTGTGGAAAAAGGTTCACCTCTTAGCTTTTACAATTCAACCACAAGAGGGCATAGGTGCTCTACTCTGTATTAGAGCATTTATTTATTGCTTTTTTTGTGACTGTAATTTTGCAGATGTTGAGGTTAATTTCCTCCCATGGCTCATGTCTGAGGTCAACAACCAATTGAAGAAGAGAGACACTGCAAGACAGATACTGGACAGTAAGCTTTTTTAAACCTCCAGTTTATGCCTGTGTAAATTCTCAGTCATCCACGTCATGGCGACCACAAACAAGCTTAAATTGGAGGGCAACCGGAATTTCGATCAGCTTTTTGAAGACCCTTTGACACCTATCCAGGTGCCTTTGTCAATTCTGTTGACTGGCACCAGAGTCCGGTTGCCTTCTAATTGAAGCCTGTTTGTGGTTAAGCTTTAGTTTACTGCTTTATCCATTGATCCAGATTTGTTATTCTGAAAATGAATCATCTAAAATGATCTAAGATTGCAATGTTCAGTACATCTATTTATCATCAGAGGTTAATTAGGTTACGCTAGGGAGAAAATCCTTGCATCAAACCCATGGAACACAGTAAACAGCTCAGGGGTTAGCTGCATTAGGTTAAAGGTTCTAAAGCAATATCCCAAGATTAAAGCTTTGCACAAAACAGGAAGAGTAACACAACCAAAAACATACCAATAGGTGGTCACCCACCATAGGAGGCTGGTCAGTAAGAGCATTCATTTGAGAACACTTCTAGAAGGCTCTGGAGGGGCTGCAGAATTAGGTTAATTTGCAGGACAACTACTAATAAAATCCACAAATCTTCCTTTTATATTAAAGAGTAGCACAAAGGAGATTATTATTTAAAATGAGTCATGCAAGTTCAGCTAGCATTTTTTAATCAATCATTCGCAAACAAGAGCAAGCAAAGAAATGTTAGGCTGTAGCCAGATTCCACAAAATTGAACTTTTGAGCCTAACAGTGTAAGTGAAAGATTAACACTGCTCATCACCCTGAAGATACCATCTATTCTATGCAGCTAAACAGAGGTGGCAGCATCTTACAGTCGACATGTTTTTCTTCAGCAGGACAATGAGACTGAATGATAGAGACTGTTGGCCAGTCAGATATTGGAGATAAATCACATTGAGAATGTTAGGCAATACCTGGAAATTCCCCAGTTCTCCATCTAGTCCAACTTTCCACAAAATAAAATAAAATAGTAAAGTTAAATGAGGCGATAGTTGGCCAGGTGAGTGGGCTAAATACAACTACATGCTATAGTTTTTGTTCCTTTACTTTACACTACCTTAAATACTTTGTTCTAGCAAAAACAAAAACCAGTTAATTAAATACATTTGGATCTCAAGCAGTTTGGATACTTTTGCAAGAAACTGTAGTTATTCACGAACAATCTCATTTGTGGGGATTGTAAAAACTTGTGAAGAAAAATGTTAAATTTCACAACTATAGGCCACCAAAATATTTCAAAACTGGAATAATGGCTAAATGTTAACCCTTTTAAACTAGTGCCATCTACTGGTAGGTGCTAAATATTACACACATCACGAAAGTGCAGAAAGAGCATTATTCAGCAAAATGTTTCTTATAGATGTTTATCTTCTGTTTCTGTTTCAGACATGATCTATAAACTAACTCTGGAGAGAATGGATGAGTTCAAGCAACTGGAACCCCAACAAGACAGCTCTGACCCATGAAAATACCTGCTGATCAACAAATGTCCCGAATCAGAGATAAACGTCTTAATATAAATGCAGTTCAAAATAACCAGTTTCTTTCTTTCTTTATTACACAATTCCCTGTGAATTAAAATGAATACCTGCAAACAGTGTATGATAAGCTCAGGGGACTTTTATCGTTCTTGGAACAAAAAATAAAAGAAAAGAACATAAATGATTTTAAAATTTTAAGTGCCTAAATAACCTTGCCCCATTTTACCTCTGGGCTTCTTCACCTCTACTTGCCTCTTTTGTCGCTTAGGTCAGCAGAACAGCAGCTCCTGCTCCTATTAGGGTTTAGGCGGAAGCTCAGAGGAGCCAGAACCCTCTCTATCGCTATGGAATAGCCTCCCACTGCTAATTAGGGGGACTCCTTCCCGGATAAAATTTTAAAACAGTGCTTAAGTCTTACTTATTTTCGCTGGCTATAAGAATGGCAGGATTTAGTTGTGACTTGTTTATTTATCTTAAACAAATTCTTATTATTGTTCTATTTTATATTTTTATGCTGTATTTTATTCTTTTATTTTGTTTTATTATTTTTAGGTACGTTCAACACTTTGTTTTCAGTTGTAGCTGTTTTGAAGCACTATACAAATAAAGATGATGATAGATAAATAGCTTTTCTCATGAAATAATATGTAAGATTTAAATATTTCAAGACATTTTGAGCCATATTTTTCCTCACTTTGCCAGTTCTGCTGTTACAGGATATTTGAAACATGATTTATATGTTAAATAAAGAATAAAACCCCCCAAAAAATTTTGAGAAAAATATTTTTACTTCTTAAAGTAACCAGAAACAACTTAGAACAAAGCTCAAAGTGGTGCAAAGTGGATAAAATTTTCTAAAGCCGTTCTATGGAGGAAGATATATTTCACTGTCTCATTACTTTCCTCGATTTGTTTACTAGCAGTGAATGATTCTCAGGTGTTCAATATATTTTTTTTGCTATAACGTTCATAATACAATCTAACCTATTATTTTTGTCCTGTCATATTTTGAACGTCCACAATCATTGGCGGTGAAATCTTCTCTGACTGAAGCTGCCTCCCATTTATGTTTTTTTTTAGTTATTGGTTTAAAGAGAATAAAACCTGCTCAGGAGAAAAGGCTATTTTACTAATCTAAGGATAATTTTAGAGTATGAAGTTAAAAGGGTTTGAAAGGTCATATCTAGGTGTTCATGGTCACTAAACAGGGTTACCGAAATGTTTAATACTCCAGTAGAAATGGAAACCCAAGAAAATCAATCAACTCTAAAGATTTATCTGTACTCACAGACTGTTCTAATGAGTAGTCGGCCCTGGAAATGTTGACAAACTGAGGAGACTTTCATCATTTGCTATTAATAGATTTAGATAAGAAGGCTAAGACCTCATAACCTGTAAATGTGAGGTTTTGAGGGGTGCATCTTAGCAGAGGTCCAGTTCTGAGCCTCTCTAACCCAGTATGGCTCCCTGCTGTGCTCATCCCACCGCCTCGCAAAAAAAGCAAAGCAAACAAAAATAAAAGTTATGAGTAGAGTCATTCATACTGCTGGTGGCAAACATCTCCACATATTAAGAGGATTATTCAAATCACCTTCCTTTGAATTAATCTTTGATTTGCATCTGCATCTCCCAGTTCAGTTAATTCAGTGCCACCAACAGGCAAATTAACTATATTTTGCATTTTTCAGACAAACTGTTCTGCTTAACTCGTCATGGTAATGAAACGTAGGAAAGAATCTGAATTCATTTTATTAATGAACAATCTGGGGACTTCTTTAAACTTGAGAATTCCTTTTATATTAGAACATTAAGTGTGAGGCGAGATCTATATTTAGTTTTCCAAAATCCACAGGCTGAGTTTGATGAGCTGGAGCTTCAATGAAAGGCGTGGCTGTGAGCAGACCGTCGCATTTCTCAGTGGTTTCGTCTTATGCTAAGAAGTAGGTGAAACCTGGGATATATAGGGCTCTATTTTAATCCCCACTGCGCCATTGGTCGGCTCACCTTTGACGCCTCCCACCTCTCTGCATCTTGTTGCATGCAGGCGGATCCCTTCCTGTCTGTGAAAGTTCCTAGTGTGATGAGGTGACACCTCCCTCCCTCACACTTTGTTTGATCAGCTGATTCATCTTCTGATTGATGCGCTCACTCACAGTCAGATTACATCAACAGCTCCTGATGCGCACCCTCACTGGGTTCATTCAAAAGCAAGTGTTGCATTTATGTTCTTATTTAGTCAGGGTGATACTAAATCCTATGGGATCACACCGTTTCTGTGTATTTAAAAAAAAATCAAAAATATGTTAATAATTAAATTCATTTTTTTTTTTGTAAATTTAGCAAAAATAATTTAAGATAAAATGTTTTCCAAAAAAATATAGCATAATAGATAAAAAGATATACATGTTAACCTAAGTCTAAACAGATCCTAGGCTATGTTTGATGGCTTAAACAGAGATTATTTTGTTTATGATCATTTTATTGGGGCAGAGGTCACTCTGGGTCCCTGAGCAAAGACCCTTAACCCCACACTGCTCCCCAGGCACCCCACTATGGCAGCCCACTGCATCCCAAGGGGATGGGGTAAAAACACATTTTCCCAGTGTGAGATCAATAAAGATCAATTACTATATTTATAACGTAGTCTATATCTGAATAAACTTGAAAAAAAACATTGAATATGAGATTCATATATAAAGTCATTACAGAGGGCTTCCTTTCATAATTTTTTTTTCAGTTATTTGGCATTTATTTGCTTGAAAAAGGACAGAGACACATTCTACAAGGAGGGTTCTTACAAAAGAAGCTGGCTGCTAACATGGTGTATGCGTGTATATCACTGGAAAGTTAAGTGGAAGGAAAAAGTCTAATAAAAAGTGCCCAGAAACACAATTGCAATTAAAGAAAAGTTAATTTTCAGGGATTTCAGCCTACAGGATTTTTTTCTCTGTATACTGTTCATTTATTTAGCTCCACTGAGAACCAATTCCAAACATTTTTTTCTCCTTATAGCAGAAACATTCTTCTGTCTTTGCTCCAGGACTGGTTTAACAAAAAAAATTAGACATTTCTAGGCGTTGCTTTTGAGATGTGTGTCATTTCAGCAAGTCCATAGATCCTAAAACTATGTAGGCCTATTTGTGTAGCTTTTCTCCTGGTGGACATCCGTCAAACTATCAGTCAATCCCATGGTTGTGTAAAGCATAACATTTAGAAAAATTTTTTTTATTGGACTCTTGTGAAATTTAATGTTCAGCTCCCAGTTGCTGTACTCCATAATATTAAGATATATAATTAGGATGTGTATAATACATCTATATTTATTTTGGAAATAAATCAACATGTGGTTGATTTTCCGGTTTATCAGATAGGCTTTAGAGGGGAAGTCTCCCAAAAATGGGAACCTATGGAGTCCTCCATCATCCTGGCTCTCCACTATCTTGGATGCGCCATATTAAGTCTTTCCGAGCTGACGCAGTTTAGAGGGAAATCTGCGGAAAATACCAACACATCTCCTCTTAACCAACACCAAGCTCCGGTAAGACTTCCGCCTCAGCAGCTGTTGACTTAAGACAGTCGGTCACTTCTAAAAATACGCAAATACCCAATTTGTTTTTCCGCACTTTTATTTGTTTCTACCTGGCACCTCCCTGCTGCTCTACACAAAGGAGGAAACTCTCCCAACAGGTGCGAAGTAACACAATCCTGTAGGAGGTTTTATTTTTTTTCTTTTAAAGCCAAATACTCCAGAAATAACCCCAGTTTAGTAATTATTTACTTTGACACATTTAACGACATTAAACAGGTTGCTCTATCTGAGAGCTTTTGAGTGATTTACCATTAAACGCATCACCTGGTTGCGCCTAACGACGCCAGGTGACAAACAAATAGGTGGATATGAAGGTCTCCTGGAAATAAACTGAGGTGTGGGCCTGTTGGTGAATGAAAGCGTCATCCCTGAATGTTAAAACAGTTTGGGTGGAGACTTCAAATTTATTGTAGGCTGTGGGTGAGGCAAATAACAGACATGTTAACGTCCATGTGCCTTTGTGAGTATTTGGTAGTCAAGGTATGGCAAAATATGTAGGTCTTCCTGTTAAAAATTTCAAAATAAAATCCGTAAGTTAATTTTTTATTTTTTTTTTGTAGTGGTGGGATTGCATTTTTTAATACCAATTTAGAAATCTTCATTTCAGAGCAGAGTTGATTTGATTATTTTTTACGCTCTACTTTACTCTTCTTTATTATTCCCAGCATCGCCTCTTCTACATGTCTGGGTTTAACAAATCCCCACAGATATAGCTTTAAACATCTCAGGGAAGAAAGGAAATCGTGTTCACTTACAACTCCTATTCTTTTTTTTATCTAAATGTTGTGTTATTGCTTTTTGCTCAATTATGTTTTTTCGGTGATGTCAAAAGTACACACATTTGTTACTTAGGTAAAAGTATAGATACTGCAGGTTAAAAACACTCCGGTAAAAGTTGAAGCATCAACCTGACCTCTTTACTCAAGTTAAAGTGAAAAAGTATGTGCTCCAAAAACTACTGTAAGTATAAAAGTATAAAGTAACCTTTAAAAAAAAAACAGCCAGATGCCATTACCGTATATGAATTGAAAGCTGAATTTTTTGACTATTTCCCAAAATTCTTTGAGATAGGGCCAAGGATGAGGGAGGTCTTGTTGTTGGTCTCCATCTGCCAATACGCCCTCGCCTGTGTCCGACCTTTCAGACATTTCAACATCTTTTTCTGAATCCCACATTGTAGCATGGCATAGACAATTCACGTTAGCAGTTTTAAGAACACCTTCTTGCTTCTGATGATTTCCTTTAGCTAACCAATGAGTGTTTACTTTAAATCAATCATCCAATTACACAAGTTTTCTCTAGATGTGGATGGCACCAATGATCTGCATTAGATGGCGCACATGACGTGAAATAAATATTTATAAACATTAAACCGTAGCCAAGAGTAACGAGTAATGTTTGTTTTAAAAATGTAAGGAATAGAAAGTACAGATACTTGTGTGAAAATGTAATGAGTACAAATTAAAAATAAGTAATGGAGTGAGGTATAGACACCTAAAAAGTGTACTTAAGTACAGTAACAAAGTATTTGTACTTTGTTACTTGACACCTCTGTTGTTTTTGCTGGCAGCGTCATTCAACTAGCTTTAATATAGAAGCCCTGGATGTAACAAATAATTAAGTTAGTGTTTAATATCTGACCATCTTAAGATTTTTTTTTATTTACTAAACAGATACTTTAAATGCAGAGGTGGATAATCTAGGTCCAGAAAGTATAAACTAGTTCTCCTTCATCCTACTCACTTACGCAGGTAAAGAGTCCCTAGTGTCTTTTGTGGAGCTGGGAATACAATACTTTTTAGTTTCTAAACTTGGATCATCCACCTCTGTTTAATTGTATACATTAAACTTAGCATCTGCCCATTTATGGAAAAAGATTTAGATTTTGCAACAGCAAAAAAAGTTAGGTGCTCTTATTTTGAAGGGCTCTTCTTGTTGGTTACCTTCTGCGGACAGTTTTCAAAGGTGATTCATCCTGGTGATGACGGCCGCCTGCAGGAGTGTCGAGCTGCTCTAAGCTGAGTTTTAAGGGAGGCACAA